CCCCCCCCCCCCGCCCGTTTTTTTTTTCACGTGGTACATTTATGATATTTCACATGTGTCGCTTGGTAGTCTTCCCGTCGACGCATCTTTAGTCGCAACTCGATTTCTTCGCAAGGCAGGCGCCACACCAGCCCTCAATCGCGAGGAAAGCGCCGTACCAGCTCGAGTGCAACCCAACGCCCAAAGGTTGAGAGTTTGAAGGCACAGACTTGTTGCCAACGACCCCGGCGTCGGCATCGACGTCAGAATGAAACGAACCGTGAGAAGCGGAAAATAACATCGTTCTGACTATGTGTGGTGTGTTGCATATCCCCCCGAAAAACCAGGTGGCCAAGATGATGGGGCTCTCTTCTTTCGGCTGGGGCTACGGCCAGCGGGCGGTGGTGGCAACGGTGAGGATTGGTGTGTATTTAGACTTGGTCGCTACGGCGGTAGGCCTGCCGCCGAGATGAAAAACGGACAACCCTTGGCGAGGACGAGAACCACCTTCTCGTTGTGTGCGCGCAGCCAGCAGCTGCATTTGTTGGTTTCATCAGTGGCATGGCCATCCAGCACCGATATGACTGTTGATTGCACACATGATATGCTGTTAGAGTGTTTTAATTGGTGCCGGGGGGAGGTTGGGGTGTTCGGTCGTGGTGGCCTGCTCGGGCTTGGAGCACGATGGTGTCCTCGATGGATGCAGGCGTTCCTAGTTCAACGGCCGCGAGGAGCGCAACGTGTGCAAACAATTCAAGACTGGTCCAGCAGTGCGGTACTTTGCGTTGTGCATCGGCGTTGCTGTCCTGTTTCTTCGGTAACTTTCGGACCAGAAAACCTGTCGAATGTTCGTCAACGGTCCTGGTCTTAGACGGCCTTCTTCCACGTGCTGTGTCGAATAACTGTTGAGGTCCATCCTTCCCCGCCGGGGTGACGCTTCTTTCTGTTGCTCTTCGCGCGAAACTGCCCGTCAGGTGAAACTGGCGGAGTCCCACGGTGAGGTTGCGTTTCAGCGGTACCTGTCGAGGGGGCCGTTGGCGATGCTTCCCCTCCCGGGAGGAAAGCTGGCGTCGCTAGTGTGGTCGACTACACCCGTACACGCAGAGAGCCTAAAGGTGAGCGTTGAGAGGCGTCCTTGACGTGCTTGTCTCGTTTCATCTTGTCTGCCGTGCTGCTTTTGTTGTCGATGATTTTGCTGCTACTGCTGCTGCTGTTATAACCGTCCTTCTTTCTCCGCTGTTCGATTAGCGTCCTTTTGTTTGACTTAACTCTCGTTGGTAGCGCGAGCGCTGACGCCCCCGATACCCGTCGTGGGGTGCTGCTGCGAAAGCGAGAGCAGCGCGACAAGGTTGTGAATGAAAGAGCAAATCCTCACGACATCGGAAGACCCTGTTGCTCCGGCAGTAGTTCTGCCTTTTGGTGTCCACATGATGCTGTGATCGTGGCCATACCACCTTCGGGTGCAAGTAAACTGGACGTTCTTGACGCCACACATTAGCTGTCTTCAAGCCAATCAACCCGAGCAGGGCATAGTGCCCCCGCCGGATACAGGGTAGACCCCCTCGTCTGTGCACTGCCCAGCCTGCCTAACGCGGTGGTAACCTCCCCCGTCCCTACCCGATCCTTTCTACGACGACCTTCTAGTCGATGTCTACCACGGAGTTCGTCAAGGAGGTGAACGACGCGTTGAGGCTTCCCCCGACCATCGGCACTTCACCCTCGTCGTCGGCAGAGCCCGCGTCGTTCTCCGGAACGGTTCCTCCTTTCGCTGGCGACCACGGGCTTTTCGGACGTGTTTCGTCGCTTGCCGCGCTCCCGTTCGCGACGGCGAGTGCCCTAGGAGAAGGGTTCGCGAAGAGCGCGGAAGGCGTCGCGGGCGCTCTGGCGGGACTGTCACTCGGTCTGCAGGAGGGGGCAGGGGGTGGAGGGACAGGGGGGTTTTGTACCCCGCCTGAAGCCGTTGAGGTGAGAGGTCTTCGTCTTCGCAGGCTAGTCGTCACCGTCGTTGTCACAGCTGTGTGGTTGTTTCTTCTCAAGAATTGGTGTTCTTGTTTTTGTTGTTTTTGTTTTGCTCTCTGTGCGATTGCAGTCTAGCTGCCGTGTTGCAATACTGTCGTCTAAGGCTCTCTTATCCTGTCCTACGTGCGTTTCTTGTGTTGCGCCCTCCTCTTCTCTGGTGCCGTTATCTGCTGCTGCGCTCTTTTTTCGAGCCACCAGTTTCCTCAATCAAGCCGTGCCCCTCCCTTTTCTCATCGAGCTCCATTCCCGTGGGCCATGCCCTTTTCTCTCTCCTCATCACGCGCTGTATTTTTTTGTTGTCGTTTTCCAGGTAGTGACCCCTCGACTTGGCTTTGACCTCTCCTTGAGGCAGGCGCACAGGTACACCGGTGCCAGGATGGCTCTGGTTGGTGATGCCGCTCACACGGTGAGAGCCCTCGCCTTGTCTAGACGTTTTGCTCTCTAGCTGCTGCTGGTTATGCTGTTGACGCTCCTGTTGGTGCCAACCGCGTAGTCGTCGTCGTCGTCGTCGTCGTCGTCGTCGTTGTTGTTGTTGTTGTTGTTGTTGTTGTTGTTGTTGTTGTTGTTGGCGTCGCCTTGGTTGTTTCTACTGGTTTGCGCTACGCTGTTGTCATTTGTTCTTTCGTGTGAATTGCCAGGTGTTTTCGCGTAGTTTTTTTTACACGATTCCTTGCCGGGCGTTATCCACACCTCTAATGCTAGAATTCACCGAACTTGCACCCAGGCCGCTGGCCCCAGTTGCCTGTATCTGACCCCTCCACCCCCGGTCCCGCTAAGAAAATGCTGCCGTTCTTGTCAACGGTTTGTTGCTCAAGCGTGCCGTGAGTCTTGGGGAGATTGCACGAATTGAGAAGCTGCATCAAAAGAATGGACAGGCATCCTCCACCCCTTCCGTCATACGCCCCCCCTCGACCTTCTGGTCCACCCTTGTGAAACGTAACCTGGGTGGGCGACAACCCAACATGCCGCTCCGTCCCGGCATGCGAGTCTACCAAGTACTTCCGTTTGTTTTCACTATTTTGTGCCCCTCCCCTTGACCGATGTGGGGACACCACAGGTGCACCCCATGGCTGGACAGGGGCTAAACCTGGGCATTGCTGACGCGGACGCTCTCGCCCGCGCGGTGCTAGAAGGGCGCTTGTCAGGGACAGATGTAGGGTCGACGACGTTGCTCGGGCATTACGAACAGGATCGGAAGGTGCGAAACGAGCCTCGTGTAAAGCCATCGCTCTTGTCTTCGCCGTTGCAACCGCCGTTCTTGTAACTCGGTTGGAACCTGCTGCGAGTATAGTACGAACGTTTTACGAAGCAACTTGGTTTCTTGTTGTGTTTTCATCCACAGTGTTTTGTTTGGCCTACAATGTTGGGCGTATTTCTGTAGACGCTTCGGATGAGGTGCGGTTGCCAAGGGTGGACTGCTAGCAATGCCGCGAGTGAGTGCCCTCTCCCGGTTGTGGCTACCTGCACCGCTCAGCATGGGTGATTGGGTGATTGGGAGCTACGTTTGTTACCTAAATTCCCTCCCAACCGATGAACACAACAAGCAGTGCCCTCCCCCTCCTCCTTGTCCAGCAGTGCGTCGACCGCGCGGCCGAAGATCGACAGCTAACCAGCCCCTTCGCCCCCCCCCCC